TCTCCCTTCCCCTCCGGCAATGAGAAGGGACAGAGAGCCAGGCTTGGGGTTCAAGATAGGACTGGGATGGGGAAAAATCCCCCTTTTGTGATCACGAGCAAAAGGCAGACTCGTTAGGGGAAGAAAAAAAAGAACATACATTTATTACAGACACTAACAACACATAACAGAGTAGGACAGTGAGAAGCATTGCCACATCTTGAGAACACCTTCCCCCCACCCCTCCCTTCTTCCCGGGCTCAGTTCTGCTCCTGATGTCTCTACCTCCTCCCCCAGCGGTGCCGGGGCAGGGAATGGGGGGTGCAGTCAGGGCTGCTGCTCCTCCCATCTTCGGTGGGAGGAGCTTCTGGAACTTCTTCCCCTGCTCCATCGTGGTCCCCCTCTCACAGGAGACAGTCCTCCACAAACATTCTCTGACATTAATTCCTCCCATGGGCCGCAGCGTTCCCCACACTGCTCTGTCATGGGTCACTAACTTCCTCCGACTGGATTCCCTCCCACGGCTGCAGCCCTTCCCGAGCTGCTCCGGCGTGGGACACCCCCACATGCTGCAATCCTCCCAGCACTGAATTACAGCAGCGGGGCTGCCTTTTCCCATGAGACCCCAGCCTTCTTCGGGCACAGAACCTTGATCAGCTGAGCAGGAGCAACAGGCCATAAATCAATGTCTGCTCCACCGTAGATCTTCATGGGTGGTGGGGGGGGCCGCCCTGCCGTCTCACCACAGGATACAGGGGGGTCTCTGCTCCGGCACACCTCCCCCCTCCTTTCTTCCTCCGTTCCTCCACTGACCTTGGTGTTCACGCAGCTGCCGCGACTCCTCCTCACAAGTCCGACTGCCCATCACCACGTCCCTTCTTAAATACGTTATCGCAGAGGCGCAGCTGATGGGCTCAATTTCCCAAACAGAAGTGGAGCTGACGTAGAGCTGGGGGAGCTTCGAGAAGCTTCTCACAGGGGGCCGCCCCGATAGCCCCCTCCCCTGCCACCAAAAAATTCCACCACTCACTCAACCCAGGACACCTTGTTCCCTCAAGATGAACCCTCTGCTAGGAAGCAAATCCAGGCTACTTTCATGTCTGTCTAACTACAGATGCCTTAGATCATGCCTCTTACTCTATGAGCTCTGGAGCACATAAGTTCACACCAGTTAAAATCAACAGCCAAAATACTTATCTGTTACTTAAAATACAAACAAAAAGGTGTATTTGATGAAAGCTTTGGGTAAAGATTAGCATGGTTTCATTTCCATTCAGATCATTCTGATTATGACCAGTTTCATGTCACGCATATGTCATAGGTCTGTTACCTGGTCTTTGGAGCAATGAAAAATGTACTAAAGTATTATAATATTAGTTTCTTGCTAAGTACTTTTTGTCCAGACTTGAAAGTTGGCTCCACAGAATTAGAATCTGTTCTTTCTCAGGTGAGGTTTAAGACAATGTAAATGCCCTTAAATTAATGTAAAGGTAGTTTGGCAGAACAAAGAATCAGAGGTGTAATATTTTCTTCAAAGAAAAGAAAAAGAAGAATATTCACAATGGCCAAAATTTCCAGAAGTGCTCATCACTTTTGAGTGCTCAGCTTGAGAAATCATAGATTCACTTGGTGAGTTTGCTTCCTATCATATGCTGTCTTTCTTTTCTATGCATTTTTTTTTTTTTTTAATTTGAAAATGCTTTTGTCTGTGGAACACTTACTTGGTTGCTGCTTCTTATGTCTCTTCTTTCCACTTTGACCTTGTCTGGAGTTTTTCTTACAAAATTATCTTTCTTCTTCTATCTCCACAGTTATCACCTGACATTATGAATTACCATGTGGTTTATTCTTCCTACTGGTACATTGATTTCCACATAAATTTATATGTAGAATGTTGTATTTTGGCTAGAATTCTTTCCAGAATTCCAAAAGCTAAATACTTTTCTAGCTTGATGCTAGTCTGTACTTGAGTATAGTAGAAGGAGCCTGAGAAGAAGGAGCCTGAGAAAAAATACTGTAATTGAGAAAAAAAATGTGAACCCCATGCCTACTTACTGCTCAGAAATTCTGTATTACTCAGGTGAGTTGTGTTTAGTGATTACTTTGCCTATACATTTGAGTATTCTTCTTCTTTATTACCTTTCTTGTCAAAAAATTACGCGAGCATATTAATCCCCAAAATGTGTTGGCATCCATATGGATATATTTCTATGGCAACCTTTGATGATAGGCTGAGAAATTTGCTGTTGGGGGTGAACCTGAGCATCAATCTAGACTACAGGGTTGCTGAAGTACTGTTTTCCTGTCTTTTCAGAGTAAAGCCTAAATATTTGAACTAAAATTTAACAGAGTTTCAGGTGTGGTAGCCTGACCTGGTAGCTCAGAAGCGTAGCCAAGGCAGTGCGGTCACAATTTGGGTCACCGGGGCTTTGGCCACTACTCATGTGCTAACATTTGCTACCCGAAAAGTTTCTGATAGCTGCAGACAAGCCATTTTGGGCCGCAGTGCCAACACACAGCACTGCTCATTTTTCACGAGATAGTAAAACCTCATAGTAAATAAAAAGTCATTCAGCATGCTATTTTGTAAACCAGTATAGTGCCCATATTGTACGGCCCTACCAGCAGCTCCTTTATTTAAGCACAGTAGCCGTGGGGAAGCTGTGGGAACTTCTCAACAGCAAGGCACTAAGGAACATTCCGTTCCTGCTGTTTTCGTAATGACTAGTTGAGAGACAACTGTCTTTTTGTACTTTTGCTCAGTGTCACCCGCACGGCGTGTCATGCAGCGGCATGCGGCTGCCGGTGCTGGCAGGCCTGCAACGGGCAGCGACACGGTGATGCCAGGATGCGGGATCTGTCTGTCCTTTTTCTGTCCCTCCAGGTGCTCCCCCCTGGCCAGGGAGGGGTCTCCTAAAATGTTGATGCATTACTGAGGACTGGAGGCTAGGGCTACATCTGCGCTAGTACTACATGCTGTAGTGTGCTCCCAGTTTTGTAAAATTCTGTGGTTGTGATGGAGGGCAGTAATCATAAGAAAAACTATATGTGTGCCACTCTTCTACTCACAGTTTTTTTCCCCTGCTAACTAGGTAATCTCTGTATTATCATCTAACCGCTATGCCTTTTCTCCACACTCTAACTCCTCTGAAAATGACAGATTTCTCCTTCCTCATGTACTACCTTAGAAGCACTTTTCCTTGCCTTATCTTGCCTTGCCTGCCTCAGCACCTCGCCTTTCTTTGTGCCTATTCTTTCTTATCTCATGTAGGCTCACAAATGGCAGTAGCTACCTTCTTCTGGGTGTCTGAGCTGAGCCGGCTTTGATTATAATGGTTGTATAAACACATATTTTAGATAGAGACACTTCAGTTCAGGGGTTTAATCAGCTAGCTGAATCCCATCCATATATTTTGATGGCTCTTTTTGGTGATGCCGATGTGTGTTCACTTTAATTGCTTTCAGATGGTACGTTGCTAACTTTGGTTCAAGACATTGTCTAACTTAATTCCAAGAGTGATCTTTCTCACACCAGAGAGTAGTGTTGAGTAGTATGGAGAGGTGTGTTGTTCAGAGTGGTTTTGAGGCAGTGCCTCCATTTATAACTCGTGAGCTTCTTAAACATATTTTTCCATCAGCTAGACCTACCTACTTTCTGTCTCTTTCACATGTTGTCAAGAGCAGCAGGCAAGAGCCAGCTCCAGGTAAACTGAAACCTAAGGGAGATGAGTTGAAACCCATTTCAGACTACTTGGTAGTGCTAATTGTCTTTGTGCTTCTACATAAATGAAGTAGCATCGTATTTTAGTTTGTCTGGCAAGTAATAAATTTTTTATATAAAGACTGGAGAACCTGAAAGTGCTGATGATGGTGTCTGCAGTGTGGATGAACTCCTTCGCTGCATGATGGCAGTAAGTTTCCTGCATAGATAATAGACTTCTTGTGCCAGAATGGTGTGGTTGAACATCCACGAAAATACAGAATAGTACAGACACAACCACAGCTTTTTTCATGATACTTACTTACAGAAATGGCTAAACAATAGAAATGGGGAGGAGGGAGGTAGAGAAAACTTTCAGTGAAGCAGAGGGAGTTGCCACTTTTTATTCAGTATGGTGGAACTGAACTAATAGCTATTGCTTCAGACTCCTCTCATGATTTATCACTACTTTATTTTGATTTATTCGTTTTATTCCTCTAGCACATAGGATTTGCACTGTGGGCAGCTTTTTAAAGTAATTTTTGTCAATGTCCTGAACAAAACCACTTGTCTGCATGTCTGGTGTGTGTATTGATCTTACAGACTGTCTCCTGCCAGGTGGGTAATAAATGCTCAGCTGTGACAGTTCTGAGAGTCTAGCCGCCAGACCAGCCCCAAAACAACCTCTGGGTAATAATGGGGAAAGGATTAGAACGCAAACAAGGACCACTCACCCTTTAAAAACAATTACATCATTCATTCTGCATGCAAAATGTCTATTAAGAAGGGAACCCTTCTCCACTTGCCACTCAGATATTCACAGTACAAGCACTGGAGTTCTGTGGTCAGCAGGTGAAGTCTCCATCCTAAACTGTTACTACCAGGTTTATTAATTTTTGTTAATGATGCACCTATATCCTCTGTGCTTCTAGTTCATTTTCCACTGCTACTGCTTCAGTGGAAAGTATTTTCTTGCAGTGAATGAACTGAAAAGAGAAGGGGTTTCCTCTTCTATTTATCATCTGTCTACAGGGTTTTGATTAAAAGAATAAACGTGTTTCTTCAGCCACCTCAACTAAAACGAGACCATCAATTTCTTAAAGCTCATGAAAGACTTGGAGAAGTAAATCCGAGGCATTCACTTGCCTGACAAGCTGCCAGAGCCCACAGAACTTGCTCTCACACTGGCATCTTTTCTGCCCTTGATGTCATGTGCAAAACACGAGGATTTGTGCCGTGCTAATCCCTCTAATGAGGGTTTCTCCCAACCTCTATATAAACCCTGCTCAAAGCCGTGGCTGCTGGGCAGGCACCCCAGAGCCAAAGCGCCTGTCTTTTTCACCGCATTCAAGGCAATTAGAGAGCGGGATTAAACAAACACTCAACACCAGCACCCTCAGCAGCGACAGGGATTATCCCGCTTACCCGGGGCATGGAGCCGTGGCAAGGCCATGCTGTCCCGTGGCAGAGATCTCCCTGCTCCGCTCGCTCAGGTTCAGCAGAGGGGCAGAGCCTGCACCCAGCCGTAATGGGTGCCCTGAGGTGGCTCTTCTGGGCTGGGCTGGGCTACCTGAGCTGCTGCTGGCCCCCCCAGGCACAGGCACAGTTCCCCCGCGCCTGCATGACGGTGGATGCCCTTCACTTGAAGCGCTGCTGCCCGCCCTTGGGGACAGAGCCAGGCAACGTCTGTGGGTCCCTGCAGGGCAGGGGACGGTGTCAGGGGGTGCAGGCAGATACTCAGCCCTGGAGTGGCCCCTACACCCTTCGAAATGTGGATGACCGGGAACGGTGGCCCCTCAAGTTCTTCAACCAGAGCTGTCGGTGCACAGGTGAGAGCGGTGCTGGGGCGAGGGGATGGGGATGGATGGGTCTGCTAACCTTGCTCTGAAGGCCAGAAACGTCCCCGGTGGTGTAAGGCATCAAGAAGCCTCCAAATGTATCAGTTTCCTAAAATACTGTCATGTTCAAGATACTATCAGCACTTTTTCAGGGCAACAGAGTCAAAAAAGCATTTTCTCTCATGCAAGATTTTGGGTTTTCCTCTTTGTTCCTGTAGCCACCCATCACCTTTCTCACCAGGTTTTTGGATGTTTCAGTGCTGCGTTCAAACCTCTGTCACTGCTAATCACGGTGCAGCAAACCTGGATCAGTGTGCACTGATCAGAGATTTATTCCTCTCGGTGCAGTACTTTGCAGCACGATATACCCCCGTGCACTGAAAATGTGTGGATGTCTGGCCAGGGTATTTCCCGGGGTTGTTATCTAAGTCTACAGCTCACTTTGATCCAAAATGGGTCTGTACAACCACCAGAGGCCATCCTGTCATTTTCTTCCCCATCTCCAGCCGCTCCTTCTCACCCGTGACTTTACATGGGCTTCTGTGTTCACCTGCTGGAGGTGAAATGGATGAGGGAGGAGATGTGCTTGAAGGCTAACCTGTACAGAAGGATCAGGTCTTAAGAAGACCAGTTCACTAGTGCTGGCAGGAGGGAGGGAGTATGAAGGCAAGGTCAGGGTAGGATAAGGCAACAGGACCCTTTTTCAGCAATAGCCCTGGTTGAAGGAGGGTTAAGATGAGCAGGAACTGCAGCCTCAGCCCAGCCTGCTTCTCACAGCTGGCAGGAGGTGGTACCAGGAGTCAGGCAAAAAGCACATCTCAATCACTAAAGTCACTTGCTAGGCAGATTTCAAATGCAGCCTGGGATTTCTTGTTGGAAACATAAAGTTGTTTGAATTTTCTAACGTGGGAAGAACAGCCTGTTTTCCTTCAACCTGATTCTTAGGACTAGCTGAACTGTTTTGTCTAAAGCACTGCAGTGCTTTCAGCAAGTGCGGATAAGTTCGCAATGCTGTTATCAACTGAGAGCAGAGAGGTAGTGGCAGATGACTTAAATGGAAACATGGAGTCACTGAAGCTCCTCAAAATAACAACAACAGACTTGAGAGTATAAATTGGTTTTTATCTCTTCCTTTGACTAGATTTCAAATGCTTGCGTGGAAGTACTTTTCCAGACACTTAAAAAAAAAAAAAAAGAAAGAAAAAAATTTGGTGTAGGTTTCTTTCATTTTAAAGGTTATTATATACCTCCAAAACTAAAGTCAGGTATCACGTACAGGCACAGACTCAGAGTAAGAAGAACACTGAAGCACATGGGCATACACCAATATTTACACAGTCTAAGTAACGAGGGCACCAAGACCTGGGAGTAAATTGAAGAGTGGTGAAGACAGACATGGTCTGCATAGGCAGACATTAATTTGCTTGGCCAAGTAGAGATAAGCACCGGTACTTGATATTTGCAGGGCTGGGTCCCAGGTTACATGACCAGAATGTAGTGTCCTTTCTTCAGCCTTTCTTCTGCTGAGCTGTCGCTCTCAGCTCTTTAAATGTGTTTTTCTTGCTGCATTTTTATTTCTTGTATTCCTCTTTCTCATTGCAGTCTTTTTTATCTAAATAGACCCGTGATAAAATATTAAGGTGGAAGGCATGCTTAAGGATGATTTTTAGGAAAGTTTCCTGGACTCCACTCTGCCTGATGCTGCATGCAAAGGAATTTCTAGTCTAGGAGAATGCTAAGAAGTTCACAACTGCATGGCATTTGAATTGGATCTGATGTTTTTACAATGCTGGTAATTGTATGTCTGTGTCTGTTAGTATTTTACTGTATTTTTTTTACTCTGTTTTAGACACTGGTTGGCTGGCTGCACGTGAGTGTTTTAAATGGTGTGACATGTGGTCTTTGTTAGGCATCTAGGGCTATGGTACCTATGATAGGTAACATAAATTAAATATGCTCATTGAAAGGGAAATGGAGCAGTGCACATCCCTACTATTAAGGTATCTTACTCCCCAAATGAATGTTATGTGAAAACTGCCTATTTGAAATGGTTCCTTGCTTGTGCAAACTCCAGCCCATGCCAAGGGTCTTTCTAGCATTTTAACAATATAAATGGTTGTGTTCCAGAGTCGTCTTAGCACTGTTTAATTTGTAGTTTAGACATGGTGTAAACAATAATCTATGGGACCTCCAACTGCCATGTAGCTGATTATATTTGGTTAGATAGTGCCATTTAAACCTGTCACATAGCTGATGGCTGTACGGTAGGAAACCTGGAGGAGCTGTGAGGAACAGGGGACAGGATTTTCCAAAGGGGGCATTCTGGAATTCTCACAATAAATTAATCTATTTGGGCTTTCTGCTAAAATCTTAATAGCTAATGATAAAAGGAACTTTGAACATTTAGCCATTTGTTGTAGCTGTTAACTGAGGAAAAATGTCTTAAAATCATATCCATGATTGATGCTGAGTATTTCTGGGGGGGAAAAAAAAAAAGGAAAATCCCAAACACAAACAAATATTGGTGAGTGGTTATTGTGGAGTCATATTATTTTTATAATTTTTCTCAAATCAGTGTAAATTTTCTAAGGCAAATTAAAACGCCCCACATTTATTTTCCATTTCTAGACTTTATCGGATAATATGCATTAGTCTTTCTTTAACTGGAGATAAATAGAATAAGAGTAGTACAACAGCAAGATCCAGCTTTATTTCCCACTTTTTGTACAAAGAGCCATGGTTAAAAAGACAATTGTAAGTCTCTTGTCAGGATGCTGCTTGCTGCACGTTTCACTCAGTGTGTTGGTGGCAGCAAAAATAGCATCTCTAGGAAAAAGATGTGGTTATGGCATGAATGTAGCTAAGAGGTAGCAAAGAGTTTTTAGTTCCTGTCTAATTTCATTTTTGAATCCATGGTATGTGTTCTACAATTCATCTGGGTGCGCCTAATATTAATTCAATTTATATAAATTCTTAAACTTGATGATAGTTGTTGACAGTGTGCAGTACTACGCGAAGGGAAATATGTTAATATTCCTTAATATTATCATATTCCTCAATAAGGTGTATGTGTTGAATTAGACAAAATATTGGATGTACTACTCTAACCCTGAAAATTGATACTTGTAGCTAATTACACAACAAAGCAGTATTTCAGTGGGATAGTTAAATATAATTTAGGAGAATACTGTTTTAGAAGACCTATGAACTAAATGCTCTTTTGAGTTCTAAGGGATAAAATTGTACTAATGGGATACAGATCTAGAATAGCATTTAAAAAACTCACTACAGAAGATTATTGTGAAAAAAACCCCCACTGCAGTCAGTCATGTGGTTGCTAATACAGATTTTGACAGTGATTAAACAATGAATTCACTGAGGAGTTAAACATTTCTTTTTTTTCCTTGCCAATTCCTAAGGTTAACATGTGGACGTGTTCTGAACATTACTCTATTTTTTTTTTCATAGAGGTTTTTTGAGAAAAAAAAAATTAAATCTTTCCACATTCCTGTGCTATATATAACCAAGCTGGAGGCAGAAGGTTGTGTAAGCATATTTTGTGTAAACAAATTGCCAGTTAAGCCATGTAGCTGATATGGTGGCCCTTCCATTAGGTAAAAATTAGCTTTTGAAGTAGTTATAAAATACACTTAATTTACTTATTATAGGACAACGTGGCTGTGGGAAAATACTGAATTATAACCATACCTTGATGGTGATGTTAAAGCCTGTGCTAGGTACAGATCTTCCACATCCTAAAGCCTAACAGTATGTCCAAATGAAGAGCTAGAAGAGACAGAAGAACTAACCATTTGTCTCACATAGTAGCAATCCTGATCCTACCCTTTGGATACTGAAGTCTGCTGGTGTTTCAAAACTAATGGAACTTCTCTTTCAATGCAATGGCTAAAGAAGTCTGAAAAGGGGTCCTTTCTCCCCATCTGATAAATGATGCGTATTAAGCTGGTCTCTGTGGAAGAAAAAGGCATGGCAGCTGCTCAGATTTCATCTTAGTACAATAAAACAAGGCAGAAGATGGTGAGTGTTGGATGGGTTCCTTTTTACTGAAGAAAAGACACTGAGTTGATGGAGTTATTAATTTGTGTTACACTCAGTGTCTGAAGGCCAACCACATGCTATGACTGCTCAGAGGTAGAAAAATCCCTGGCAATCACTGGGGTTGAGAAGCAGCTACAGTGGTATGTGATAACTGGTGTTAGCATACACCAGTGATGTGTATTAACACATACCAAGAGTCATGTCATAAGAAGTGTCTTTTTCTCAGTGACATGCCCATGGATTGACTCACTGGGAGAAGTAGCATAGCCATAGTGCCTACAGAAACAGCCAGATTCACCCAACTTGACTGGGAAAGACCACCATTAATGATGATGAGTTTAGACATGGAAGACAGCTCCTGAGGCAGGTGATCCCATCTCCAGACAAAAGAGTTAGTGGGGAAGACACCCCAGATGACTTTCTTTGCCCAGCAGCAGTACAAGGGTCATTCCTGAAAGCAGTGGAACAAGCGGGGCACAACTGGGCCCCGTCTGTGACATGATCTGTGTGCCAGAACAACCTTGCCCACTGTATTTTCTAGGAACCACAAGAGGTGAGAATAATCTCCCTTGTCCCTGGCATAGCCTCAGAGAAGTAGTACACTGAGTTGCTACTTGTTAGTCACTGAAGGCAAAAAAATGCTAAGGATTGAAACCTTGCATGTTGCTATGCTCCCTGTGTTCAAGAGGATCCTGAAAGGATCTCATTGTCTTACTGAAGATGTCTGCTATGTTCTATATCCTGATGAGATTACTTTTCCTGCTGTCTTAGAGCTGTACCACTGAAGTCCACCATCACCAGCATAGAAGACACTGAAGTTAAGTTGTAAGAGACTGGGACATACATTTCACAGTGCTATCATGTGGGAATTCCACAAGGCAGTAAACAAACATTTTGAAAACAGCAATGCATTATTTCCAGAGCAGTGGCCTGGTAGAGTGCTTTAGAAACACATACTGAAAAAGTGGCTTAGGTGGGACATAAAGAACCTGTGGGTGAGTACTGCAGTTATTCCTGTTTGCAATGTGGTAAGTCCCACAGACCTCCATCAGCTTCTTGCCATTTCAGCTGCTGCCTAACGACAGTCCTGTGATGCATGGAGTCTGCTGAAAGAAAATGACAAAAAGTGACTTTCGATTCCATGAAGTAGTGGTGTTGTGTGCTTTTCTGACAAGAGAATATTGTGAAATAGGCCTGAGTATGTTACAAAAATGTTCAATACAATCAGCAGAAATACTGCAGTGTGAAATACCACTTTGCCTGGAAATTGGGTTCTCCTGTTTGCCAGGGTCTTCTTCACTGCAGTTTCCCTCCTTACTCAGTAAAAGCTCATGTCCCATTGACAAGTGTCTGGCAAAGTGGTGGAAAGAATGGACCTCTTGTATTACTTAATAGATTAGGTGGTTAAGGGAGAAAATCCTGCATAGCATCAACTGGATATAATTAGGAGCTCTGGAAGGGAAACAGGTGAGGAGTTATTGGTCCACCTGGCTACAGATGCCATACAGGTGGAGAAAAACTTTTTTCCCATGAAGATGACTCGTCATTTCGGGATTTTGCGAATTTCTTTTCACAGCCTGAAGAGGTGCACAGAGTATACCTAAAATATGGATGTTGTCCGATAAAATGATCTGGGACATCAAGAGCTGCATAGATTCAAAGGGCTCTTACTGAGAGAGGAATAGGCACCATCAGAGCCCCAACAAGTGACTGATGGAGTCTTGTTCTGGTACCAAACCAGACGGGACAAACCTGCTCCTGCACTAACTTTGATTCCATTAGTGCTGTATTTCAGTGTGATGCTTATTCAACACTGAGAGTAGATGGGTCACCTGAATTACTGGAAGCATGACTGCCAATCTCAAAAAAGGCTGTTGACAGATTTATTCATGGTTAATTCATGCTTTGCCTCCCTTCTCTTAAAAAGGGTTGAACTGTACCTTTTGGTGTCAGGGGACAATGGCTGCTTTCCAGAAGTTCATGGTCCATCTACTGAAACTTGTGCAATATACACGGCCTAATATGGTAGTGTTGAAAACTTTTGCTTTTTCTGGCATACGTCTTCATCCCCTAAACTGATGCAGACCCCTGGCTTTGGGTGCATTCCATCCTAGCTGAAACATGGCAGCCGAGCTCAACTCCTCCTAACTGCACTGGGACAAAACATAAGCCATAACCTGGAAACTGTCCACATGGTATGCCACTGGGCTGTGCACGATCCAAAACCTAGTTGAAGTCTTCACCCTTGTGGTGCCTAACCTTAGCACTGGTCCTAAGCTTCATGACAGTATGTAAGCCTATACATTTCAGACCCTCTGAGGTAACCATAAGCTCTCAAAACCTACAGTTAAGAGTCCACATGTCTTCTTGGTAGGTCTCACAGGAGTCTGTCACAAATGTTTAGATCTCAGCAGCCCGTATCCTAAAGCTAGCCATAAGCTACACAGACATTCTGGTAACAGCCCTTGTAACCTTGGGGGACTTTGAAACTGGTAATAAGCCCTGTAGCCCCTGACAATCTGAAATCTTACTTTAGTGTTAACTGTTGTTCTGCTCATAGACTCATCTCTACACCCAAGGGACGTCTGCCCATCCAGGAACACTTCATAAGCCAGTTCCCCGTCCCCACGTTAGCCCGAAGCCTGTCCTGGGTCTAGCAGTGACGATATGTGTGGGGAGCAGTGACCCTTTGTGGCATTTGGGAAAACAGTTGGCATGGTTGTTGTGGAGCGAGTGTGTACACGGGGTTGGAGGGAGGGTGGCGTTAGGGAGTCTCAGTGCAATTTTTTGAGAACTGAGTGGAGATCCCAGAGGACCCCTGGTTGCCCCTCTGCTCCCTCCTTCCCCTGGCAGCAGTGCCCGCTGCCCTACACCACTGCTACGCCAGCAGCCTGCCTGCGTGCGGGCAGGAGGCAGATGTCCGCTGCGGGAATGGTCGGTTGTCCCCCCGTCTGCCCCCGGCAAAGGCAAAAGGATCTGCAGCAGGGCCTCTCTGCTGCAGCTGGCAGTCTGCCACGCTGAGTGAGAGGCCACGCTCACAGCAAGCTCTGCTCTCCTGGGCTCTTCTGCCACATTAGAGGGTCTGAGCTAATAGCCTAGAGCAGACCTGATTATGTGCCTTAGGAACGATGCCAGCGGCTTACTGCAGTGTTTCTCAGGCTCTTATTGCAGCACCATTTAATAATGCTTAAAGCGTGACCTGCAGCACTCCTGGTGCTTGTCCTGGATCGTGTTGTGTCCCAGATACACTGTTAACAGACATTAGTTTTTCCTAAGTTTTGTCCTTGAGAGAACTGTTTTGTTTGGGGATTCTTTTATGCGCTTAAGGATCCATGTGAACCGACCTTTTTTTGGGTTTGATCCTGGAAGTACTTGATAGCCAGTCGAGCAAAGCACTTCATCACTTGCTTAACCCAAAGTGCTCAGCCCACTGTTCGGTGAGACTACTCACGTGCCTGAGGGCTTTGCAGAGCTCTGAGCACCTTGGGGCATCAAGCCCATTACCCAGCACTTCACCTTCCCAGCCAGCTGAGTGTGGTTCTTGGCCCTGCCGCGGTGCTGGGAAGCGAGCCATCCTTCTGGTTAGGCAGCTGGCAAAGCTGCCAGTCTGCTCAGCTGCTGTGCCTTCCAGGAACTGGCGTCTCTGCGGAAAAAGAGTGCTAATTCTTAATTCTTCTGCATTTCACTGTTAGTTTTCCCTGATTCATAATGTCATGACTGCTCTTTCCCTCTTGATTCAGGAAATTTTGCTGGCTATAACTGTGGTGACTGTAAGTTTGGCTGGACCGGCCCCAAATGCAACGTGAGGAAGCCAGCAGTTGTCAGGAAAGATGTCCACTCCCTGACGGCAGAGGAGAGAGAGCAGTTCTTCAGTGCTCTAGACCGTGCAAAGACAACAATTCACCCAGACTATGTAATTGCGACTCAGCACTGGTTAAGTCTGCTTGGTCCCACTGGAGAGGAACCACAAATTGCCAACTGTAGTATTTACAACTACTTTGTTTGGCTTCATTACTACTCAGTCAGAGACACGCTACTAGGTTAGTGCTTTTCTTATCCAACGGGCTCTGCAGGTAAAAGAAAAGGTGAAAAATATCATTGCTGAACAAAGGTAAGTATGCTTAACACAGCTGCGCTACTCCAGTGAGTCCCACTAGGAGCAGATCTGTGGAGTGGAACAGTTGGTGGTGAGAAGGTGGTGGCCATCCACGGTTGAGGGAGGTGTGCTTCAGACCTGCTGTGGTCTACACCCCCCCCCACCCCATGGTGACCAGACGCACCTCTGGTGCATCTTCTGTCTGACAGGGAGGCAGTTCACAGGCCCCACTGCTGGGTGAACTGAAGCGTGGTCAGGCAGGGGCTGACTTCAAAAAGGTGTTCCTAGTTCACAGGACAAGGTGGATGCAGCAGCAGTGGGAAAGGGGCTCTGCAGTGGTGAAGGCAGAGACCATGTGGGGACATTGGGGACCAGAGTGCTACTGTTTTCTGTGGCCTTTGGCAAGGTATTAAGGATGAGATTTGCCTGAATAACCACAGCCAAATTTTGTAACCAAACTGGGTTAGAGGTTTGGGTATCTAACCCCATGCTTTCTCCAAATCCTAGATTCCTAGTCCTCATTGTTCTTCTAGACAGAAGTACCTAAGCCAGCCCCACTTCGCAAAGCCCAGCTCTCACAGAAGAAGGCACCAGTATGGCTTTTCTAACTGGCAGTCCTACGTGCAAGCTGAACAGCATATATCTAACTCCTTGCTAGATGGTATCTGATATGCTGCAGTTGTTTTTCTTCAGTGTGTCCTTCTGACGCTGTTCCATTTCCCAAGGCTGAAGGAAGCAGTCTCTGGCCTAGCAAGTGCAAAGGTCCTTCAGGGGACAGGAAAATCGCGTGGAAAGGGAAAGTGGCAACTTCTAGTATTGCTGCAGTGATAAAAAAATTCATATGTGTGTTGAAGCTTGCTGCAGTGATTAACAAATCCATATGTGGTTCGAAGCCTCTAGCCTTCAAGTGTCTTAGTTCTCATGTGTAATATCAAGAGCACAACACAAGAAATAACAAGCACAATTTGAAGAAAATTGGCAAAGGATGTTGAATTACTGTTGTCAGGTTATGGAAAATGCTGAGGTTCTCTTGACAGATACATGGTGTAAGTCCTGTAGCTGAGCAAGAGAATAAGATAATGATGTGGTACATATTAGCAAGAAGCTAAGATTTTAAATGATAAAACTGCTTCTTAAAACCAAAACCCATGGAAATGATAAGAAATCTTCACAATATCCAACTTTTGGTGGAATGTGAACTTTTGGGAAGCACTGAAGTGAATATCCACAGAGGAGTTTGTTTCACTTGTCCCATGTAAGTGGTGTAGCTTTTGATCTGTGTGCTTTTTCCAAAGGTGCAGAGCTGCAGGTTTTTGTTTAAATCTACTCCAGGCAGTAGAAGAAGGTGCTGTCTTTCTCTCGAGCCTCATTTGGTGCCTAAGTGCTTATTTTATCTTCCCTTTGTAGGGCCTGGCCACCCCTTCACAGGTATCGATTTCTCCCATCAAGGACCTGCCTTTGTTACTTGGCATAGGTACCATTTGCTGTTGCTGGAGAGAGACCTGCAGGTTAGCTGAACAGCCTTTCCCTTTCCTCATGCAGCTTCTCTCTTTTGCTATGTGACTTTGTTGAGCCAGCCAAGGGTAAGGTATTTCCTAGGATAGATTCTTACCCAAACTCCCAGGAGTGTTTGTTCACTGATCCTTTTTTTGTTTAAAGTGAAATTAGTGCTTTCAAGATACTGAGGACTTAACAGTTTCTCACTGTGAACAACACCGTGAAGGTTATCATGGAGATTTTTTTCTTCATCTCCACAACAGCAGACAGAAGATGTGAATTAACACTCTTTATTAATAAAATCAAAGCAACACTTACATGTAAAACTTGGTAACATATATTGTTCCCTGATGTTGAAGACAGCATCCCAATAAAAGCAACTTTAAATATTACCACCCTTAAATGTGCCACATGATACATTTAATACATACAGATATTCAGCAATACATCTTTTAAAGAAATATATGTTAACGTGCCCAACAGTCAGTTGCTGAATCAGTGACTGATTTCCACTTGTGTTCCTTCTACATTGGCAATGTTACTGTATTTCAGCCTTGCGGATCTCTAGTGAAAATGATTGGTATCAAAATAGCTGCAGGATCTTGCATGAAATCGTATCTAACAAGCAAGCACAAACAAATGCACTGTATTCCTCTATTCATACAAGTTCAGATTCTTCCCCACAGCTAGCTAGCCTTTCTGGAGCAAAAGCAAACCACATGCACAATTTTACCCATGACCCACTTACCTCACTCCAAATGCCTCTTAGCTGCTCAAGGCTCAATTCATCTCTGTTCCCGCCTGGTCTCTGAGTTGGTAGAAAGCCTAATGTGGGCCAAAAGAAGTGCAGACCAACAGGAGAGTGTCTTTGCTTGGACTGACTTAATGCTCCAATCTTTTGAATGGAGTTAGAGCAGCACTGTGAGATGCATGTAGTTGAAATGCAGAACGAAAAGCAGAATATCCAGTGAAACAACTTTCAGGGGTCTCTTTCTTTCTTTTTCCTTTGAAGGTGATTCCCTGCTAATGCATTTCTGTCCGTTGCAGCGGCTGGTGGGCAACGACTCCTTCGCGCTGCCCTACTGGAACTTTGCCACAGGTAGAAACGAGTGTGATGTCTGCACGGACCAGCTCTTCGGAGCATCGCGGCTGGATGACCCGGGGCTGATCAGCCTGAGCTCCAGGTTCTCCCGGTGGCAAATAGTTTGTAACAGGTACGAGAATATCTAGGGAAAGCTTGCATACTGACCAAACCTCGCTTTCGTTCAGCGTTGAGAGCACGGGCTGCTCTCTCAGTGTGAACAAGCAGCAGGAAAAGAGCCAAGACATCTTTTTTAAAACTGAGAATCACGGTCGGTTTGTGTGTAGATGGTGCTGTGTAAACTTTCCTCTTTGGTATTATGGTAGTATATTTTTTAAAGATGATTCTTTTGCTACAGGATTTTAGTCAATTCAGCCAATTTGAGACTGCCAAAAGTCTGAAGAGTTTGCACATTGCCAAGTATCGTTTTAAAGAAGAAATGCCTGTGTGTTGGTTCTCTGTAACAAACACCCAACTGATTTTGGCAGCAGAAGCAGAAAACTGTTTTGGCATATAGGAAGCTAGAGATAGGCTGAAAAATCTGTTGCCTTGTATTGGGTGAGACCTTAACCCTGATATATTTAGTGCAGTTTGGGGATTGACTTTGAAGTGGCTGAGTTTGCACATGGAAAACAAAACAGAGACAGCCAGGAGCTTGCTGCCAGCTTCCTTAGGCATATACTGATTCGGGTAAGAGCAGGGCTTTGACAGGGGATTCACATGCAGGATTGGGGCACTACAATATAAGATGCTGCTGGTTACAATACCCATGTAACATTCTTCTGTCAGCTCCAGGGCAGCATGCAGTCAGTCAGTTGGAGATACTGAGAGCTCACGGCTTTTCAAAAGAGCCTCTTTCTCTGGGTACCTAAGGAGCTACTTTAAATTCTAGCTTTAGGCTTTAAATCTTGCCCCTATTTTTTTCTCTAAGATAAATAGGGCTTTGTTTTTCCTTAAAAACTGAAGTGACTAAACTTTTGCCTTGCCAAGGTTAAACAGAGAAGGGCTTTTGTTTACCTCAGGGGTTTCTGAAAATGCCGTTTCATTTCATATTGAATAGCACAGAATTTTTCACAAGTGTTACACTGTTTTTGTCCCCTCCTTTCCTCTTTCTCTTCCTGATATAAAGAACTTGCTCCCCATTAGCTAGTGGGCAACCTCAGCAACAGCAGGATGTCCTCTAGGCCTTGAAAAAGAGGATGCAATGAATTGCAGTTGCTTTTCCTGTAAAAGGGTTGAGGGATGGAAAGTGAAATCCTGTTTTCTGTCTTTCCTTTCATTTTCTCAGCCCACCCCACAGTGGGACTTTCCTGGGTTTTTTTCCCTCTTTGATAAGAGTTAAAAAACTAGTCCTTAGGACTGAAAGTTTGTCAATTCAAAATTCAAAAGACTGTTTTAGATTGTCTGGCAAAAAATGTTATTCCAAAGCCCTCGGGAGGGGAAAAGGCATGAAGGGAGTTGTACTTGCCTTTTCTAAAGCATCTGTGGACAACAAACCTGGTAACTCTTGGTCCAAATGACTGATGGTCCACAGAGGATGCAGAGCCACAGAAAGCCATGGCACGGTGTCAGTCCTGCAATAAATTCAGCTCCCAGGCCACGGGAGGTGAACTGAGATGCCCGGGGAGTTGTCAGTCCCTAACCTCTTCTCTCTCACACATATAGCCAAGGCCTCTTTCATGCTATGGGGGAAAAAGCCAACAAGTCATGACCTTCTTCTGACTTGTGCCTCTTTCCATGTCACGCTCAGCTTGGATGACTACAACCGCCTGGTCACTCTGTGCAACGGGAGTGATGAAGGGCCGCTGCGGCGGAGGCCGCCCGCGGGCTCCAGCGAGCGCCTGCCCACCGCGGAGGACGTCCAGAGCTGCCTCTCCCTGCAGGAGTTTGACAGCCCCCCCTTTTTCCGCAATTCCAGTTTCAGTTTCAGGTTTGTCTTTCAGCTCTTCCAGCTCTTCGGCTGGGTCAAGGGTTTTCTTTACGTGCTCATTTGTCAGCAAAGTCTGGTTACTTGATGCTGCTTTTACCCATCCACAGGAATGCGCTGGAGGGCTTCGATAAACCTGGTGGAGCCCTTAACTTGCGGATGCTGAGCCTTCACAATTTGGCTCACTCATTCCTGAATGGGACCAGTGTTCTCCCTCATGCAGCTGCCAACGATCCCATCTTTGTGGTATGTCTTTTTCCTCCAGAGTGAGTGGCAGTGGCTGTGGGTCAAAGTCAGCTATCTCACCAGAGACTTGCAGCACAGAAGTAAAGTGAATTCCCTAAAAATAAGTCCTTTAAACAGAAAAGGAGAAAATATTTATCTTTTTCTTGAACACTGCCATGACTGCATAATGGTCAAATAAAGAGGAGAGAAATCTCACAGTGATTTGTAAAATACAAAATAAATTTCTAGGGAGAGGAGCTAGTCATGTTGTCCTGAATCCTTTCATTAGGTTGTATCTAAACTTAATGGCTTATGCCTGACAATTCCACAGCAACAAGATAAACTGAAAGTGGGGCTAGTTATTTTAGAGCAGTAGACCGAGTAGTTTGTGTCTTTGTTTCAAAATTCACAGGCTAAAAGGAAGTGCATCTAATTTCAGGGTCTCTTGGGAAATAGAAATAATGTGATTTCACTGGTGCAATGGTACAGTGCTGCACTGCAATGAGCAGCACAAACAGCAATGTGCAAATAAAAAGCCAACAGTTGACTCTGTTTACACATCTTTCTCTCCTAATAAGATCATGCCAATTTATTTTCCTCTGTTAGATCAAACCACAGTGATTATATGGACAAATTCTAATACAAATAATTAATTTCTTACTTTCACTTTAAGTTTGCAATCTTTTGTTGGAGAAATTAGTCAGAATACTTATGTAGTGGCTCTCCAGCTTATTTCCTTAATAATTATTGAATTCCTACATTCATTTATTTCTTACACAATGAAATCTTCATTTCACTGAGGTGTAATTTTATACTCAAGATTATTTTCTGTAGGATATTTTCTAAGTTTTTTCCAGGGTTGTAATTAATGGCTACATTAGAAATTAAGTTGAATTGCCTCAGACATTTGTAATTCTTGTCTGAAACAACTTTCATGTATTAGTGCTTTATAGACTTATAAACTCACTGGTCAAGACCTGACCAGATTCATGGGTACCTGGAGCTGTGGAGCTGGTGGCTTGCTCTAAAATGAGCATGAAAGAATCAAATTTCCTACAATTTTCCATACCTGTTCAGAGATGAGAGAGATTAAAATACATTTGAGAGGTACATTCACCTGAATGAGCTCAGTGGGCCCCCACCCGAGAGGATGGACCTGCCTGTTCAATACCAGCTGATATTAAATTGTCTGGAGAAAGAGCTCATTATGAACAACAGCAACAAGGACAAATACAGCAAGATATCCCATGCAGGAGATCAGTTTACTCAATTCTCATGAGCTTTCCTGGATTCCCATTCTGTAAATCCCACCTAAATTAGATTACCCTCTTCCTTCTCTTTCAAAAGCTGCTGCCACCTTAGGTGAGAGTGTTTTAAATGCTGTTGAGTTCTAACAGAGCTTAGTAAATGTGTATACCCACGCTTGGATTTTCAGGTTCTTCACTCCTTTACTGATGCCATCTTTGACGAGTGGATGAAGAGGTTTAAACCACCTGACAATGCCTGGCCCGAGGAGCTGGCTCCCATTGGTCACAACAGACTGTATAATATGGTCCCTTTTTTCCCTCCTGTGACCAACAATGAGATCTTCCAAACTGCGGAGCAGCTCGGCTACACCTATGCCATTGACCTGCCAGGTATGTCTCAAAGGTGTTGTCGTGGTTTGAGCCTGGTCGGCAGCGAAAGACCACGCAGCCACTCAATCCCCCTTCTCTTCCGGCAATGAGAAGGGACAGAGAGCCAGGCTTGGGGTTCAAGATAGGACCGGGAGGGGCAAATCACCCATTATGGTCAAGAGCAAAAGGCAGACTCGTTAGGGGAAGAAAAAAGGAACATACATTTATTACAGACACTAACAACACATAACAGAGTAGGACAGTGAGAAGCATTGCCACATCTTGAGAACACCTTCCCCCCACCCCTCCCTTCTTCCCGGGATCAGCTCTGCTCCCGATATCTCTACCTCCTCCCCCAGTGGTGCAGGGTCAGGGAATGGGGGGTGCAGTCAGGGCTGCTGCTCCTCCCATCTTCGGTGGGAGGAGCTTCTGGAACTTCTTCCCCTGCCCCATCGTGGTCCCCCTCTCACAGGAGACAGTCCTCCACAAACATTCTCTGACATTAATTCCTCCCATGGGCCGCAGCGTTCCCCACACTGCTCCATCGTGGGTCACTAACTTCCTCCAACTGGATTCCCTCCCACGGCTGCAGCCCTTCCCGAGCTGCTCTGGCGTGGGACACCCCCACATGCTGCAATCCTCCCAGCACTGAATTACAGCAGCGGGGCTGCCTGTTCCCATGAGACCCCGGCCTTCTTCGGGCACAGCACCTTGATCATCCAAGTGAAATGAAACACAGGCCATAAATCAGTGTCTGCTCCACTGTAGATATTCATGAGTGGCAGTGGGGGGCTGCCCTGCCGTCTCACCACAGGACACAGGGGGGTCTCTGCTCCGGCACACCTCCCCCCCTCCTTTCTTCCTCCGTTCCTCCACTGACCTTGGTGTTCACGCAGCTGCAGCAGCTCCTCCTCACAAGTCCGACTGCCCGTCACCACGTCCCTTCTTAAATACGTTATCGCAGAGGCGCAGCTGATGGGCTCAGTTTTCAAGCAGAGGTGGAGCTGAATTGGAGCTGGGGGAGCTTTGAGAAGCTTCTCACAGGTGGCCACCCCTATAGCCCCCTCCCCTGCTACCAAAAATAACCCCACCACTCACTCAAACCCAGGACAGGTTTGGAGGCTGTTCCAGGCCAAGCAATGAGACAGCTCACGTTTTCAATGACACTGGCTTACGGAAAATAAAGCATCTTTCACAAAACTTATAGGTCTATTCAACTGCTCATGAGCAATCACATATTGTAGCACAGGGAGTTAACAACTCACCACATAAGCCATGGTAACTACAAGTGTGCACATACTTTGCTCTGCTGCAAAACACATCAACTCAAAACAGCTCTGGCATTCATGATGGTGCTCCACTGGAGCTGAGGAATCATTGTTTTTGACTCCTGCTCCCAGCACTGTTCATGCCTGTTACAGGATCCTTTAACCTGTCAGAGGTCAGACACTCTGCCAGGGAGCTTGCCTGGCTAATGTTGGTCATCAGAAAATACTTGTTTTGCACAGGCTCTGACTGATATTGCATTATGAATCTCATTAGAGGTCAACTCCATTAATCTTTGGATACTCTGGAAAGACGTAACTGGGTGTTTTGCCCCTAGTTTTAAAGATTTTCCATCCCCATAGGTGTGATGTGCCTTAGGGTTTGTCTGTTCATTTGAAATTACCTTGGACTTAAATGATATAAAGACAAAACCCAAGAAAACAAAGAATTTATGCACAAATCCCAAATTTGCAACACGAGTTACAAATATTTGTAAAAGGCACAAGTGTAAGAAATGCATGAAAAACATGCTTCAGCTGCTTTAACAAAGATTGAATCTGAGCTGTTTCTTTCTCTACCTCAGGATTCCTTTGAGAGGCAGTAGGTGCTTATCTAACCTATGTGGCCAGAAACGTCTTCTAAATGCTTACCATGTATCTGTGGTTTTAATCTGTGGAGACTGTTTAAAGGTCTATAGACTGCAAAAGATTGAAACCCTTGTCCTCAAACCGCATTCACGCAGGGGAGCCCTGACTTTTGGAGACATGCTTCTGCAGTGCTTTTCTCAGGGGCGTCCCCAGAATTTCCCCTGGAAATTTAAACTTCCCCTTTTATGGAGTTTAAGTTTTCCTCCCTCTGGACCACTGTCCCTGCTCCCGCTTTGGAAATGCTGCTGCCCCTTGGGTATGAGGTACCCAGAGAGCCACAAAGGCAGCTTGTGATTCTGCTGCTTCTCAACTCCCACCTAAATAGTTATCTCACTATGAAGCAGCATATCTATCCCTGCCTGCACGGTCAGTGTTCAGAGAATAAAGTTTTTACAACAAACCCCTTCTCTTTTATCTAAATATATAAATTGCTAATTCTACTTCATGTAACCACATTAAAAATCAACATAGGTAATACATTGCTGGCTTTTACTTGAGAGATGGTAAAGTGGTAAACAATTAATTTTGGGATCTTACCGAATTTGGGCACGATTGACCTCCATTCTTTTGTTGACAGAGATTGCAGATTGGGGCACACAACTTTTAGTTGCTTTTATAGCCAGTGTGACAGCTCCTTGAGCTAGCAGGATTTAAGACCATATGTCAAATACCTTTTAAATACCTTAAATCCTTTTGAGAGTTTTTTAGTGAATATTTAGTCAAATGTAATTATTGCAATCTCAGTATATGTAGCATTTTTCAGGACGGGACAGCAGGCAGTTGTTGCTTCCGGAAGCATAAATGAAAACACAAAGTTATTTAGCCAAGCGAAGCAGGATTATTATAAGAATGGGCAATATTATCTTAGAAGACAGTGGTTCCACAGAAGCGGTTCAAAATCAGAGGATGTGATCTGGAGCCGGTCAGCAGAACCACACTATGTAGTGTTTTCAGTTAAAAGTTTGACAGTAGTCTTCTTTGTGGTCTATAGGAAAATTTGAGGTTTTTCTGTTGACTGAAATAACTTGGAAACAGCTATGATGAAATGTCATTATAGAAAGAATTGCTTAAATCATTCATAATTTTGTCCAATTTAGATAAGAGAATGGTATTTTTGTTTTGTTAGTGTTAATCTTTCCCGTTCTCAACACTTCAACTTGTATGAAAGGTTGAAGTTTACATTCAGCTGTAGAATTCTCTGGCAGGAAACATCTCCGGCTCTGGTATGTGTGTTGGTTACACGGTGCATTACCAGCTTCCCCTCTGGTCAGTGGGTCTCTAAGCCACACAAGTAATCAAATTACCAGGCTGTGGGATATCTTCTTTCTTCCATGTGATTTGAGAAATGAAATTATGGGCTGTCCTCACTTCAGACATTTCATATTTCCAGGTTCACTTGACGAAACCCAAGCATGGGCTGTCACGGTTGGATCCACAATTGGAGGAGCACTTACAGCTCTGGCCACACTCCTTCTGCTGCTTGTACTTTTCCAGCGCCGAAGGCAGAGAAGAGGTTTTGAACAACTGATGAATGTGCGCTTCAGCCCCAAAAAGTACATGGAAGAGGCCTAGTGTCCTTGCTTAGTGTCTTTGCTTATTCTTGTAGGAAGTGACCTTGATTGTCTTACTGAGAGCTGAGAATTTATCACACACTCCTTTGGCAGCTGACTACATTGTTCTCATTCAGGCTTTCCTGTTATCTTGTGAATTGTAATATATGAGGTCCCTGGGTACATATGTACAAGGCCCAAGACAGGCCAGACTTTTCTTATTACCAAACATTATCTGGAGTGTGTGACACTTGTAAATCACCCTCTATAGATTTAGATCAAGACAGCTAAAGCTCTAAATAGAAGAAAATCAACTTGAATAACCAAGATAATTTTTTACCTCAATGTATTCTTGATTTCATTTAGCGGCTCAGAGATGTGCGGAAAGTTATTAACTCTACATATATATTTGGATTACATATTATTTTACAGTTACCAATAAATATTCTGAATAGCATAGTCTTTTTTTAAGGTTCAAAATGTTTCATGCTGTTTGACAAAATACAATAGGACCCCTCTGATTACAGTTTATTTCAGAAGCATGATCAATTCCGTATGTTATTTCCAATCAAGCTGATGTTAGCAGTAGGTAAACCTCCAAGCTCAAGTTCTCCTGAAATTTAAATGCAGGAGTTCCCTGACAGCTAGAGATATACTTGTGCTTTACCTCTGTGTTAGGGACCTGTGACAGAAGTTGAAAATGGTGCTTATCCTTCTGTATTTTGTCTCTGCTGCACTGTTTCATGAATTTAGACCCAAATCTCCAGTCTGGGACCCAGGACCCAAGACTGAGATATCTCTCATTACCCAGGTCTGCAGGTAGGGGATGAGGTTTGGATGAGGCACTCCCTAGACCCCATCTTAAACATTCCTTTATATATTCCCTATATATTTCTTTATTTAGACATAGATTTTAACCATATTTGGGTGGCTCTCCCATGCTATCTCGAGAGAGGGTTTTTACACAGCAAATGAAGTCCTGAATGGATTGTGTCAGATTTGGTGCATAATATGTTACATTAATGGAGTGCTCAGATTTTGCATTTTGTAAGGTCCTGAGTCTTAGAAAAACTGCTTTTGTAGTCTTAAATAAAAAATTCCAGTTAGTAATGCTTTCTGGTGTTTCTTCTAGGCCTCCTCAATACTAGCTGTATGAACTAGAAAGAAGATCTCAGTAGGTCTTCACATATACCTAGCTTTGAATATGTGTAATTCACAAAACTTGCCTCTAAAATGCAGACTTTCTGGGACAAGGAAAAGTTATGATTTGCTCACCACATGCTCAGGTATTCCTTGCGGCATCAGGTGGACAATGATCTCCTGCTGTTTCTGCTGTTCCGGGGTGCCTTTGGGGGGCCTCAGCGCACTTAGCCTTGGCTCATGCCCAAGACGTCAGTGGTTGGAGCGTTTTTGTACAGCCACTCAGCCCAGTACCCTAACTCTCAATTCAGGTTGCCTGTCAGGGGTTTTTACTGTGTAGGGACCGGCGTTGGTGCTGAGGACATCGGCTGAGGTCTCCAGAGACCTGGCTTCGGCTTGTGTCACATCAGTTGGACCCTGGTCAGTGTTGGTTTGCAGCTAGGTCTGAGGTCTCCACGTGCCCTTCTCAAGGGGCAAGTGTCAGCCACTTTCCAGCACTACAAGACTATGAGTCTTCACATGCAACAATTTCTGCTCAATACTGATTTAGAGAGATGCTGTTGGATGCAGATTGACACCTTTTTGTCTTTCATGTGATGTGAATGACAAAGTTTAGGAGACAGACTAGGCTGCCACTTCCACGGGTAAATTAGATTTTTCCTTGGGCTCACAGGGCATAGTGTGCGCCCAACTGGCTTCCCCACCTTAGAGGTTTGGATATTGATGACCCAAGTGTTTGCTTTGCAAGCTGCCCTAGTTATGGGCAAGTGGCAGTGTCAGTGAGGTAGGGAAAGGAGAGACAGGTGAAAAATGTGAAAAATGTAGTATAGCAGCCAACTTGTTAGACCTGATATTGCCCAAGTGCGGATGGGTAAAAAAAGTGAGAGTTGATCAGTTTTCACTTGTAAGTTGAGTAGAAAGGTGTTTTCCTTTCCAGAAGAAAAGCAGTGAGGGCATTAGATTGATACTATGCACATGCAAAATGCTAAGGTCAAAGATCTGCATGTTACTCTTTCCAATCGCTGGGCCTTAGTTTAATAATTAGGGCTTTAAAACTGTGACTGGTTTGAACACTTGCTGGTATAAATCTGTCTGAAGCAAGCTGTATCGAGGGCACAGCCTGCCCTCTCGTGGCTTACTAGAAAATTATCTGGTGACACCAGAAAGTTGTTTTCTCCCTTTTTAAAAAGACAGTCTTGGTCTTGCAACCGAGGAAAGTTGTGTCCTTGGTGAAAGGAGGAAGCACAGGTAAGCTTTATATGAAATGCTTAAAAAGGAAGAAAGCTGAGAATAGGAACATTACAAAACGGTTGGAGGAAATCCTGCATCAACTCTGATTGTAAAGGTTGGTTTTACATGTTTTAATGTTCCACTCATCCCAAACTACAGAAAAAGCATTTTTTTATTGCTGGTTTATTCAGGTACTAGTAAGTACTTGTGATCTGTTGTTGAATAAATTTTATTAAAGCTATTACTGCCAGGTTGAGATGAAAAGGGACTCTTCTGTCCCATAACTGGAGGCAAAGAGGCACAGATTCCTAAACTGAGCGAAACAATACTGAAAACACACCATCTCAAATCTCCACAGAGCCCAGGACACCCTGGGATTTTGGTCCTACAAATCAGTGCAGTGTCACCTCAGCTCCTGGAGTCTGTGGGGTGGGGGCACAGAGGGGGCACCGAAATGGGGATAGGGAGGGCAGTGCCCACCCAAGACAGGTGTCACTGGTGTCCGTGGACCACCTCTGCCCATCGCTTTTTCCTCTCACGTACATAACTGAGCAGTCACCGAGCCCAGCCCGGGGGGGAAGGAGGAGGGACCAGCACATCCATCTCCGTAGTCACTTTTTACTCGAGGCACTTTGCTGGCAGATGGGAGCTGAGCTCCTGAATGACTTCAAGATGAGATGGGTGTAATCATCATCACCTCTCCCGCCCCGACTCCCCTTTGAAATAATTCCTTCTGAATTGGTGCTTTCTTCTGACAAAGGGCTCCGAATCACACAGGAGCATGTAACACGCAGATGCAAATGAGATGTTTAAGCCCTGGAGAGGAAGAGGTGCTCAAAAACATCCCTTTCTCAGCCTTTTTGTTATCCAGACCTCTGTAGCTCCCAGCTCTGCCTCTAGGGCTATTGTGTGGATTATCTTTCTGAGGACTTTAATTCTCTCTAGCCACTAGTTAATTGCTCTCTCAATTGGCTGTACTGGATCTGTGGGCAGTTAATGCCTCTTTCTGAGTCATCCACTGGGTCAGATGCCTAATTTTTTGACTCTGTAGTAAGCTGGTGGCAGCCACATCATCTCTGTCAGTCATGGCCTGCGCCTTTGTGCAAATGATTATCATGAAAATTCTCTGAAGGAATTAGTGAGAACCTGTTTTCTGCATTAAATTAAATCTCACTGCTGGCTGCTTAGCTAATGCTTGAAAAGGAATCTGTTCTGATTCTGCCGCTGATTTAGGAAAGAAGCAACGTAAAGCAATCACATCTTATGGTTATTACTGTAAAATTGGAAGTTGCAATGCCAATACTGACCTTCTGCTTCTTTTAATTGCTTACTTTACATTGCTTTTAGGAGAGACATTCTGTGCCTGTGCTTGTGAGGGGAGGAAAAGAAAGAAGCAGATTTGAAGGCTATCAGCTAAATTTAGTAGTGAAGATACACACTTACAGAATCAGGCACGTTGGCTTGTGGTAACTAGGAAGGAAACTTAGTTTCCTGAAGTACCTGTTTTGGCCCTTCATGCAGTGTATGCAGCCAGTTAAGGGCCCTGCACACAGATGCCTAGAGAAAGTCAGGTTATGAACAAAGCTGCACCTATGATTCTGCAGCTAAGTCATGGCTATGGGGCAACATTAATTATCCAGAGCTTTTTGCTAAAACTAGGCTTTCTAAGACCTGGGTGGCCAGAAGAAATGGTCTGGCACCTTTTTATACACCAGCTCTCTCTTCTTGTGAGGGGGCATCCACCTCCTGGCTGAAAGACCATGAACAGCAAAAATTACCTCTAACCTTTGTTTCAGATTAAGCCAATGTATAAGCCATTGCATTGTATATATCCAAAGTCATGGTCCGATACTAGCAGGGGACCCTCCAAGGGAGAAATATGAGAAAAAAGCTCCAGGTATGCACCTAACTGCAGAATCTGCAGGTCTGGTTCCTTTTGCCTGTCCTGATCTTCTTCACCGATTCTGTCTGCCTTCATGATGATGTTACTATCGCCATGTGTTCTCCCTTCAAAGTGTCTGGAGGTCACCCTTGTGTTGGGACAGATGGGATTTGCAGATAGAAACTAAGCTACTAAATGTGATGATGAGTGTGGGAGACCTGAACACGCCAAGCTATTCAGCAGAGAGGGAATAAGCAGTCAGGTCACTTCCCCAGCAGATGATCCCACCCTGTTTGTCTCTCCTCCCTTCATTGCCTTGCTGTGTCTAGCCTGTTGACAAACCCATGAACCCTGAAACAACTTCAACAGGCAGGATGGAAAGAAAGCATGGGCTGACTCCAACCACTGCCCTTGGCAGCAATTGCAAGTAAAGGAATAAAGTAGGCCGTCACTTGAGGCAGTCACTCCATCTCCAGCTCAGATCTAGTCTTTTCAGTTCTCATCTCAGCCGTCAGACTTTCTCACAGACTAGATTAAAAAGCTCCTTCTTCAGCACTGTGGTTCTGCCTGTGGTGGATCTCCTTCAGTGGTTCCTGATTTTCTGTGGTCATGTAGCAGAGAGCTCAGCTGTCTGGTTTGATATGGTGAATTGCATTATGTGGCTAGATGCCTAGGAGACAGGTGCTTAAATGTTCAGTGGTGTGGCCACAAAGTCCCATCTTGCGGCTTCCTTTCACTTGGTGATTTCGTTGCTGTGTTCCAGGCTGCTTCCAGGCCTGTTTCCCAGCCACCCATCTCTGAGGGTTTGGTCCATCTGGTCTCTTATTAGATTTTTTCACTTCTGCCTTAGAAGAAGGTCTCCTGAGGTTTTACTGGCTTTTTTTTTGGTGTCTTTTGCTTGAAAACATCTTTCAGCAGCTTCATTTTTATGCGGAGGCGTTATTGTTCAAATATCTGTAACAGTTTCACAGTTGCCTCCTCTGCTTGAGTTAACTGAAAAGCTACTAAACACGTTAAATGCTCAGAAACTGTTATTGTTGGGAATAAGGCTGATGACTGATTTCTTTTGGGCTGATTTCCACCAATTTCAGATAGAGCCTGAAGTGCTGATTAAACCTTCTTCGCTGGGTTTCTTTTTCATTTTTACCAGGGGCTTTCAAACTCCAGCCTAGCTTTTGTCAATGAACTCTTCCACTTTCTTACATGCTGCTATGTCCTGCCACCCCATGGTCAGTGGCTGCTCAAGATGGGGAGACCTTGCCAATGAGCTGCTTCTTTCTCTGTTGCTCTGGCTGGCTGCGCACGGCAAGAGCATTGTGAGGAGAGCCACCGTGCTCAGCCCTTGCAGGTGCACATCGAATTTACTTACAGTCCCTAGGACCTACGTCAACAACTGGCTTCGTGGTTAGCCGGTGCACTCTTGCTTGGCATGCTACGCTCTCGCTGGTCCCCTTGGCATAGCTGTCTGGCAGAGATGTGAACAAATGGCTTCATTTAGAGCAGCTCTAAGACTGTTCAGATTCGTGTCACATCCCAAGGCGGCTCATCTCCTCACTGAGCATGGAGACAGGAGCTTCGGTGAAATGTAGAAAGCATGCTTCTTCTGCAGCTGCGTACGCCGACTCGGTGTGCCAAATCCTGTGGATTTAGAATTCATCTCAGAGTTTTGAAAAATGCCACTTGTGAAGGCAAAGCACAATCCTTCCTTAGAAAAGAAAAAGCTGGATTTTAAATAGAAGGAGAAATGATCCTTTTATTCAGGCCAAGTACAATCTTTCCTTCCTCCTTTTCTTTTCCCTCCAACACTTTCCATGTATAATCCTAGATTAAATCTC